CTGCGTGGGGGCGGGATGCGCCAGCGCGGGGCTCGGCTCGGGGTCCTGCTGTCCCTGGCCCCGTCCGAGGGGCTCCGACCCCATCCCAGCCTGGCTCACGTCCCCGCGGGGATCCAGGCCCCGTCCCACCGAGGGATCCGGCCCTCGCCCCCACCAGGGGTCCTGCCCCTGGCCCCACCGAGGGATCCAGACTGATCCCACCGAGGGATCCAGCCCCCATCCCACTGATGGATGCAGCCCTCGTCCTCACAGAGGGATCCAGGCCCCGTCCCACCAAGGGGCTTAGCCCCAGCCCGTGCTCCCCCTGCGCAGCCGCTGTTCACGCACATCCCGGGCAGCTGCAGGCAGCACGGTAATCCCACCGTGTAGAGTCCCAAACTTTCTGCCAACCCATAGCAACCCTCATAAATCTGGAAAGGAAGTGCATGAAATGCAGGGTCTAGGTGAGGCTCTTCTGAGTTGGGTGGGAGCTCAGCCAGCGGTCGGGCTGCTCCCACTCAACTTGCTGCCGAGTGTGGAGGAACTGGCCCCGGTGCTGCCCCCCAGCAGCCCAGTTCCCGTGAGCGCTGCCACGGGACTCTGGGTTGGTTCCGGCTCCAAAGGGAACGCTTTTGCTGTTGACATCAGGACTAACGAACAGGGAGGGCCAAAACTGTATTTTCATTTACTCAGTGTTAGCAGCTTGCAGAAAGGATGCGGTAGGGCCTGGAGTAATAGGAACAGTCATGGGTGGTAGAAAGAAAGTCAACAGAAAAGGAAAATAGTTGAAGATTGTGAGTGACACTCCTGACTATCTCCTCTGCATTTATGCTTTCATGGCATGTAGAGGTCATTACACAACGAGTTGTCCGGTGTCAGCATGAGTCCTCCCAATGATGCAAGTAGATGTAAGGAGTGTGCTGCTGCATTCTAGTGTTGAATGCTCATTAAGTGCATGGCTGGAAGTAACGGCTCGGTAGAGTCACCAGAGCAATTCCTGTGCACATCACAGGGCACCTAAGGCAGGGGACCAGCGTGTGACACAGGTCCCCCCCCGGCCTCTGCAGACCACTTTTCTGGTGAGAAGCAGTACTACAGACACTGCCTGGCCTTGCTCTGTCGTTGGTTTGAGAGCCTCGACAGTCAACGGGATTCCTCAACCTAGTTATAGCTGTAACGTAGTCTGTTTTCAGTGCTTTTCCCCATAAAGTTTCCAGCTGAGATCCAGTCTCAGCCACTTTGATGCAGGGGTTTAAGACTTACAGACACTCTGATTTCACAGCACACATTTGCCATAGGTTGTGCAATAGCTTATAGTAAGAGATATACTGCCTAGCATCCGCTCTCAGTGTAAATGGCAAAAGGGCAATGAGAGCATTTTGCAAAACCTGGGAATGTTTTTTTCTCCCATCTTCCCCTGACCTGGGCTGTGTGTCGGGCTGGGCTTATCTGAAATAACTGTGTTAGGAGACATAAAGGGTGCCCACTGGTATTGTCCTCTCCTACCGCTCACGGATGAAGCTGCCGAAGGGAAATGACGGCATGATAGAAGGCTACTGAAATCATTGGGATTTCTCTCCAATCCACTGGATCTGGATGACAGCGAGATTAGATTTGCATCCAATGTCTTTAAGGTGCTTTCAATCCAGCAGAATATCAGCGTATTTTTAGTTATTTCCTTTGCAATACTTTAAAGGCAGGTTTGATGTCATATGCAACAGGAAGGTGTATTGGGAGAGCGGTAGAAAGATGCGTGGGCAGCCTAGACAAGCAGTGGGACACTATCACACTGCCTGCCTGCACTGCCAAGTTTTCTCCTTTTTTAACATAAGGATTAAAGAAAAAGCCCAAACTTGGATTTAACTGCAGAAAAACACCCTGTAGGTGTCCCGTGCTTTCTCTAAACTAATTTTTTTTGTCTGCTTGTCACTTTATACTGTGGTAGTATCCTCCAGTCAGATCTTTGTGCTGGGTGAGGCACCATTCACCAGTGAGCTTTCTGTGTAGAGAAAGATATAACATACTAGGTAAATGAAACAAATAATCAAAGAAGGAGAGTGGTACCCAGAGAAGGTGGGGACAGCACTAGGACATTTATAGGTCATTGTCTGTGAGGGGGCATAGGTTCACTCCTCGGCAGAAGATGTCCAGTAATCTAGAGTAATAACAGGTAACATAAAAGTAGCCTGAAAAAGAGATGACAGAAGGTATTTCAGGTTCCAGTGCAAATGTCATCTACAAAAATAGTCACAACACCTCTTATACAACCTAAATATTGACCAAAAAGATCATGCTGTTGTTCCTTTCAAGCTCCAACTTTCCACAGTTTGTTTTTACCCCCCTCAGCCAGCTTTGAGAAAAATGAATTCTGAGCTTCCTGGTCTGATGGGCCAATACGTGCATACACTAAATGCACCTTCAATACTTTAAGTGACTACATTTTCAACAGTGGCTTGTTTGATATATGACATCAGCACTGTTATGATCCTTACGGGCTATTTATAGTCTGTATTATCATCAGGAATGGGCACCAGGCACCAAACATATAGACCTAGAATAGAAATGCACAAAGGAAGGTTAACAGTCCCAGCCCTAAATCATAGAATCATAGAATGTCCACTTCTTTCCTCTGGTTTAAACCCATACAGATCCTCCTCAGTGGAAGTTCATTGACCTTTATATGTATGTTCTGTCCCATATCTGCATAGCAAGTTTCGTGGAGCAGGACCTGCCCAAGCTGGGATGCCTTATGTTTGTTTGCTTCTTTGTTATCTCTCAGCTGAAACACGGAAAGAACAACTCGTCTCTCCCCGACCTTACTATGTGTCAGGCTCTCCTTACGCTATGGTTACAAAGCCTTCTCCTTAGAAAACCGACTCCTTCCTCCCATTTGTTCCACTACACTAACAATCGTTTCAGTAGCAAGAATATGCCCTTAAATTTGACATGTAGTTGTATAAAAGTATGAACAAATAATAATCCGCACACCTGAAGGAGTCAATAAATGGTTGGCCATAAAACCCTTCTGCTCCACCCAGTTTATCACCCAGCAAGAATTTCCATGAATGCCAACATCTCTGATGCTCTGCTGAGTTGTAGCCCTGCTCCAGCTGTATTTTGCAGCAGTCTTATCTTGGACACCTGCTTGGCCTTTTGGCTCTGAACACCCTCTAATGGTCCCCCTTTTTCATATTCCCCCCGTGATTTGCCAGTTCTCCTGTTTTAATGGTAAACTGAGACACAGAGAAACAGATTCCCTAAAATATTTTATCACATTTACCTGATCCAGGAAGATCCCAAGTCTGGGATTGTTTTCCTAATGCAGAGGAAATATTAATAATATTTTTATTTAAAACCAAATCAAATCCCCAGCTGATGCTCCAGCAAGTATTATAGATTATTCTATAACGGGCATATCTCCGTTTCAGTCAGTAGTCCCCTGAAATAAGGTGCTCCTAGGAAGACTATTTCAAGTAATGCTAAAAAACATGAACTGCGTGGCATCAACTACAGAGCTCCTGGTGTAGCCTACAAGGAGGGAGGGTTATGAACTGGGCATACAGGCTCCGATGTGGTTCTTTGTTCCGTCTTCACTGCTATGCTTGGTTAAGCAGCTCAGGATGGCTTCGCTCCCGTACTGTATAAAGTAAATAATTGTTAATATTGAACCCTGTATGCTGTGAAATGGGCAGCTTCCAGCCAGTAGTGCTGTGTACTGGCCAGCCAAACCTGCTGCCTCCAGCTGAAGGCCCGGCTGTCTCCTCCCTAGTGACAAGCGGCACAGACTTTCTCGTCCGTGGGTACCCAGCCTGGTGCTGGGGCTGCTTGGAGCAGGTTGTTTTTCCGGCAGTACAAAAGAAGCACCTTTTCCCCCTTATCTTTGCAATGCTCTTCCTTCCTCACTCCTTGCAAAATTACCCTTGAGTGGGGATGGACCTTCTGTGCGTTACCCCCAAGCAAAATTGTGAGGCTCCAAACGTCCAGAAACGCTTTTTGAGGAGCTGGGGGGTGAAGCGGAGAAAACCAGCACGCTCCGGTGCAAACACAGATGCAGAAGCGGCTGCTCACTCCAGAGCTGCATTAACCTCCAGGTAAGCATATATGCCAGAGCAGCAGCAGAGGAGTCTATCAGCTTTCCGGTAACTTCCCAGCCCAGGGCGCCCTTCCAAGCTGAGCGAGAGGCAGACTGCCCTTCCCTCACGGAAGGCGATGCTGCAGGAGCGCGTGTGTGTGCAGCGGGACGGTGCTACCCCGTAGCACCTCGTTTAGCGCAGGTACCGTGCGGCAGCCGATGCACTGGTCCTGCGCTCAGCCGGTGCTATACAGGAGGTGTGGATAGGGCAGATGACCCCCGAGTTTTAAATCCCTAAGGTGTCTTGGGGGTGAAAGAGCTTGTGCAATACGGCAAGTGTTGATGGCGGTCTTTGAAGATTTTCCCTCCTCCCTGGGACTCTGAATCCAACCAGGGGAGAAGCTCCGCAGTGGGGAATCCCTGCTCCGGCGATGGGGAGATGGGGAGACGGGCATGGGGGCTGCCATGGAAATCTGCCTCTGGCAGCGAGCCCCGGGAGGGAGCAGAGCCCGAGGCCTGCACGCCGGGGCGGTATTTGGGTGAGGGGAGTGAACAACCACAGGATGGAGCGGGGGTTTGTGGAGGGGAAGATGGGGAGCATGGTGAGAGAGAGCCTCTTATCTGCTTCCTCGCGGCCCTGGCTGCTTCCTTCCATCGCTGCATCGTGACCTTTCCATGCCCACCAGCGCTCAACAGTCCTTCCAG